GAGGTCGCCTCGACGAACGTTATCTCTCTGACCATAGACCTCCAGCTCAAGTGAGCCCTCCTTTTCTTCCTGATCTCCACACTGAGATCGAGAAGGACTGGAAGAGGCCGTTTTCCTCACGCATATATCGGTCTCAGCATACGAGTTAGGCGAACATCGAGTCGATGCGCGAAAGCGGCTATGAGATGATGCCCCCGGTGGAAGAGACGCTAGCCAGCTATCTCTCTCTGGGGGAGACGTCATCTCTCAAAACTCCCTCCTTGCCATCCGTGCCCCTTCAAGCCACATCTCGCACAAACGGCAAGGCATACGCAGCGGCAGGTCAGGCTGTGGCTTCGTTGCACACGATGGCGGTGCTTCAGGCATACCAGGCTGACCTGCTGAAGGACCTGGATGAGGGGCAGGGCCTTTCCCCTGGTGAAACGGCTGAGCTGCGGCGCACCACAGACTTGGCCCTCCGGGCTACTAAGCAGGCAGCCTCTGCCATGGGCAGAGCGATGGCTGCTATGGTGGTGATGGAGCGGCAGATGTGGGTGAACTTAGCGGACATCGGGAAGAACGAAAGGGGCTTTCTTCTCGATGCCCCGGTTTCGCCCTCTGAACTGTTTGGCACCTCCGTTGAGACGGTGGTCGACAAATTCAGGGAGGCGAAGTCGCGCTCAGCAGCGTTCAAATCCTTCATACCACGAAGGCCCAGGTCTGAGCCCGAACAAACCAGGGGTCCTGGCCCGTCTCGGTTTGAGGATCAGAGACGGGCACAGAGGGCTAGTGTCGCGACTCGCGCCCCGCCTCCACCTGTGGGTGGGGGTAGGAAGTATCGTGGGTCAAGGGGAGGCAGGCGAAACCCGAGGGGTGAGACCTGGGCAAGGCGCCAGCACTTTCGTCCAGGTCAGAGTAATACTTAGGTATTCACTCTCTCCCGCAGGGGGTGCAACATCTACCCTGTCCTCCCCTCTTTCCAATTCCCTTTTTATGACCACCATCTCCAGCTGACCGAGGTTAGCTGTAAAACATTTTTCAAACAGTCTCCTACTGGGCCCATGATGTTTTGGTGGTTCTATGGCCAGATCATAGTAACCGCCTGACTGATGGTCCGGTCAAAAAATCATCGGACAGAGCCCCGGCAACAAGGTTCGTGGTGGGTGAGTATGATCCATAGGTCATGAGAGTGTATACTAATGAGAGACTGAGGTGGTCATGTGTAA